GGGGGGGGAAAAAAGGGGGGGGGAAGGAAAAGGGGGGGGGGGAAAAAAGAGGGGGGGGGGGGGGCAAGAAAAAGGGGGAAGAGGGGGGGGGGGGGGGGCATAAAAAAAGGGGAGGGGGGGGGGAAAAAGGGGGGAAGGGGGGGGGGGGGGGGGGGGGGGAAAGGGGGGGAAAAAGGGGGGGGGGGGGGAAAGGGGGGGGGGGGGGGGGGAAAGAAAAAGGAGGGGGGGGGGGGGGGAAAAAAAGGGTTTAGGGGGGGGGGGGGGGGGGGGGGAAAAGGGGGGGGGGAGGGGGGGGGGGGGGGGGGGGGGGGGGGGGGGGGTACTCATAGTCGTGCATGCCGTAGTCGTTACACCATTGACCTCGCATCCGTACAAAGTCGGGACGGAGCACGCCGGGTTCTCACAGGACCAGGCTCTCACATCACCAAGCGCGAAGCGCCGTGAGGTATTCGGCGAGTCGCCTTGGGGAGGGGGGTTGTCGGGTCGCCCGGGGTGGTCGCGAGCGTATAGCTCCTAGTCATGGTGCAGTGACGTCATGGTGCCGTGACGAAAGGTAAAGGGACATCGAACACTACTCTGTGCTCAAAATACAGTTGGGCGTAAGAGGCACGTTATGGAGAACCCCCCAGCAAGATGGACACGCTTCCACCAATAATCATCGAAAACTACTCCGTGACACATCATGACACATCGCAGACGACACATCGCAGAGCACAAAGCGGGAGATGACACACGCCCCGCCCTAAACAAAACTCACGTCAACGCGGCGCCGACGAGACTCCTCGGTACTTTGGTGGCAAGCTACAATACGCCCCTCTACACCTAAAGCACATCCTTCCTCGACTCCCATCACACGCGGAGCATCGCAGGTGATGTACGGGAAACGTCACGCCCCCCCCCCCAAAAAAAATACCACAATCATCAGAAAAGGGAAAATACAAAAACGCAACGGGGGAAAGGCCGACCCAACCTTAACCCTACAAGCCTCACGTCAACGTGGCGCCCACGAGACTCCTCGATCTTTGGCGGCAAGATCATCTATACCAACAGCGCATCCTATCCTATCCTCAGACTCCAACCCTAACCCTACAAGCCTCACGTCAACACGGCGCTCACGAGACTCCTCGGCATGCAAGCTACTCCATCACAACAGCACATCCTAACTCCAAACTCACGTCAACACGGCGCTCACGAGACTCCTCGGCATTCAAGCTACTCCACAACAACAGCACATCTAACCCTACAAGCCTCTCACGTCAACGTGGCGCCCACGAGACTCCTCGATCTTTGGCGGCAAGATCATCTATACCAACAGCGCATCCTAACCTATCCTCAGACTCCAACCCTAACCCTACAAGCCTCACGTCAACACGGCGCTCACGAGACTCCTCGG